CTAAAATTACATATATAAATGTAATGCCTGTGATATTACTACCATGCGAGTACTATCCTTCAAACTGATACACAACTATGAAAGCAAATTCAATACACAATTTTTTCATTATTTTCATAGAATATTTTTCTAATTTCGGGCGCTTCTAAACTTAACGCAAATATTATGGGATCCAACATAAATGGTCATACGACATGAGGCTAGTGCAGCAACCATCATCGCAGCATTCACCTGCACGAAACCGGTCGGCGCCGCGCCGCGCCGCGGGCCGCCGCGGGCCGCGTCCCTACAACCTCTCCGGCAAACCCAACCGCACATGACGCACACTCAGTGGCGGGAACTGACGTGCCCTCTAAACATTGTACATACTAGAATAATAATATGAACGAATGAATATGCTCAGAAATATAATCCCTAAGACGATGTTCAGAGTACTTTGTCGTCTTTTACCGTTGTGGTGAACGTATCGCGAGAGTGGTGCCCGGTTCGACGAGCCATTTAATTTACGATTATAAAGTGGTACACAGATTTATTTTGATTTCATAAAATAGGAAGATACTTTCAGTTCGACTGTAAAATTTTATTCCTATTATTTTATTACACTTCATATTTTTTTTATAGTTTTATATATTTTTTTTATATTATGTGATTAAATGCATAATTTATTTTTTGTTTTAATACTGTGATTCTAATATACCTATATCTTTGCTTTAGCGGTGTTTTTTCTTAATGGGCGATAATGGAATGGTAACCCCGCTTGAGCTATCGGTATACACTGGCGGGGCACCAGTGAGGGATGATAGGTGAGGATAAAAAGACAGGTCAATTAGCCCGTAGCGTGTCTTTAGCGGTGTTATTGTTGATCACAAAACTTCTCCGTTTGAAATTTCGATAAGAAAGATGATTTGTTTAGTTAAGAGACAGTTCCTTTGTTTCATATGACTCATGATCGCATCGGAACCTATTTGCACCGGAGCAAATCGTCATTGTGTTCGTTATCAGCGCCTTTACTAATCCGCCGCCCTTTACCTGATGTTTACCGTTACCGGCACAAGTCGAGACAGCTCTCGTACTTGCATTATAATTGCATATGCGTGCGACGCGACGCGACGCCATGCCACGCCACGAACAATGCTCTCTCACATAGTCATGTGCTGACTGGACATATTTTTATATTCGAATATTTTAGTAGGTTGTCATCGTTTGAAATAGTCGAATTCTGATTCGAGTTTGAAGACTTGGATGTCTCGTGTACTTGTAGGGATATTTCAGTACTTTTTTCAATTGATTTCAGAAACTTAGTTGTTATGTAGATAATAAATATATATTTATGTATATTGGAATTTTATGTACTTGCTATGTTCGTCGTATCCGACAGTTATTTCGGCAATTTCTTTCAAAATTCCCGTTATACATATACATCGTTAAAAATTTGACACAAGTTTTAAAAATAATGTAATACCTAAATATGTAGTAATCAAATAATATTTCGTTTAGTAATAAAGGAAAACATTAATGAAATGATGAAACAACCACAGGAAAACTTATGATAAACAGGTATCTGGTATTTGTGTACCGTAAGTACTCGAAACCTGTATTCGGATATCGTGTATTCGAATTGTGATTACTCGAGTACCAGAGTATCTATCTACTCGAATCAGCCTGACTCGGCACTACTCTCTCAGCCCCAGCTTACATTGCGTGGCCAAGTTCACATTGCGTTCTCAATGATAGATAGATAATTTATTTACATTACTTACAGCACACAAATTACCATAAAAAAAAAACATACACATCATACACAGTAAAAAAGATAAAAGAATGAAAATAAAAAAGCAACAAAACAAAAAAGACCAATAAAATATAAACCAACAAGTGTGCCATAGTAACACAAAATGGTCACAACTCAGTTTATTACTTTGCCCTTAAAAGAGCAAAACACTGATATTCTGTTGTGGCCAAGAGTCAGTCGCGAAATTCCTTATTAAAAATAATAATAAAAAGAAATATAATTAAACTGCATTGTGTGTGTCCATTACATTCGCCTCCATTTGATATTATATTCTAACTAAATAAATAAATAACAGATACCATTAGATGAGGGGTAGTCAGAGGTCACTTTCTGTCACATTCAGGCAATAAATCAGGCAATGATCTCAAGATTCATGGCTACGTAGGTGGAAATGAAGCGTACCACCATACTATTAGTAATAATCAGTTTGGAAATATGAAAGATCTTATATTAATGTATATTTATAAATTAAATAAAATTCCGATTTTTTTTTCTACATTTTTTTTTTATACTACAAAGATGGCAAATAAACACATAAAATAAGTATACAAAATATACATAAAAATAATCCCGTCTGATGATAAACTGTCACTGTAGCCTACAGACGTCTGCAACAGTTTTAAAGGTCTTAGGTATATTAGGTATATATTAGGGGGCGCCACCCTCATACGAGTAGTAGTTGAAAGTGTTTTAAACACTTTATAATTTCATCACGTCTTTTCAGTTAGATAAATAAAAAAAATTAAAGAAAATTTAATTGTGGAGATTTTTGAATTGTAATTTTTATTAATCGAACGCTCAGCTCGAAATGTTTTTTAGCTGAAAATGGGAAAGAATCTCAGTTGTCAGTTTGTAAAAGCAATACAAACAAAAGCTGGGTAAGCTTGATATTGTCAACCTCTTGATTGAATTAATTAATAAATGAATGAGTATACTGTATTTGCATTATACAATATAGGGAATAAGCAAGACAATTAGCAAATATAACGATACAGTTGTTTAGTATAAGTACAGTAAGGCGATCTTATTGCTGAGAGCGATCTTTTCAAGACAACCTTAGTATAATGGACTAATTGTTGTACAGGTGGTATATAGTGTAGTGGTTGATTGGAGGTAGTGTTTAATTCAAGATTGTACTCTTCACACTCGTGTATCCTACTTATGGAATTCAAAGCTAAACAATCAAGAATTGTTTATTATTTATATAAATGACACAAAATTATAAGATATATTACCAGAGGGAGACTTTGTACAAAAGTCGATTGCTTTGGTACCTCTGTCGCATTCGTGTTTCAACCGTAAAGCAATTGTGTTTGCATGGCTGTGTTTCGGTTTGAAGGGTGGGATATGGCGTGAATTTATTGGGTACGGAGGAATAACACCTGAGTCCTCAGGAATGGCAACGCATGGGGGTATCATGGGCGAAACAGTATACTCTGTTATGTCCATGGTATTTAATAGACCACTTTTCATCAGGTGGGCCGTCAGCTTGTTTACCATTCTAAGTTGTATAAAAAAAAAAGATATGCAATTTATATACGATATATATATGAAATTTTATATTTGTCAATTACATTAAAACAATCATATCTTTATATATTCATATAAGTGCATTGAAGTGATACAGTGCACCTACGAGAATTCTGGCTGAGATTCCAATTGAGAACTTTCACAGGTGATCGCTCAGTTTCACTGGAAACGACGAAAGCTCTCTCAAAATATTTGGAGAGGCTCGCGGGGCGCGGGGCGAGGGGCGTGTGGGCCGGGGGGCGGGGGGCCGCGTGTCCTTCGATTACGTACCAATAAAAAGGTTTTTGACGCAACTAGTGCGCTTCATATCGATTTGGAATTAAACCGTATTTCATTAGCTGCAAGACACAAGTCGGCGGCGCGCGCGGCGCCCGCGACCGGTTGTCGCCCCGCTCCCCCGCCGTTTACACCCGCGCCCCCCGTGCCCTTACTCCTTAACAACCTACAAAAATATAATCAAGTGATTATTCCGCTCGTGTGTTCGGTCACATTTTTTATATGAAAAGTGACGTTAAACCGGAAATAACCAGTTTTCACTACACACATTGTTTACTACTGAAAACTGATATTTTCCTTGCTTTTGTTATGTGTTTATTAGTCAAGCGCCACCTCTGCCATATTGTATTAGATTTTACGTTGGAACAGACTCCATCTTCATGCTGTATTTCTAATATAGTAGACAGGACTGAGTGCCAACGACCTGTTGAAATTCCTTCGTTTCATGCATGCGTCACGGTTATTAGAGAACGGTATTTCAAAATTCAACCCATCGACTCCAAATATGTAGTTATATTAAAAATAAGAGTTTTAAATTAATTCAAATTACCTTATTTCACTATTTAAGTGGGAATAAAGTTAAATACGTAGTCGGACAGCATTTAATTTGTATACCTTGTTAGGATTTTACAAATATGGTAAGCATTAATTATATTATTATAGTTAGAAATACGTTTCAAGTGGCGCGGAAAAAGGAAGCCTATACCCAGCAGTGGGTTGACGTGGGCTGAATAGATAGATAGGTAGAAATATTTTTTCTTTAAAGTACATAATTATATCTAATTTATTGTCTGTGGCTTTACTCATACAAAAGGTACAGGTATGAAAAGGACGAAACAAATATTATTGATATACCTAGGGCTGCCATCCGTCCGGAATTCCCCGGATTTTTCTTAGTTTGAAAGGCGTCCGGGAGCCGTCCGGCAGGGGTTTTAGAAAAGTGTGTATACGGTGTAACCAGGACACTTGTTGTCAGGGGAAATTTATTTTTTTTATAGGTAGGCAATCAATTGAAATAAACCTTAGTTACAATTCATTCACAATAACCCGCATTCAAGGAGGCTCGGCAAAATAGTTGATCGAACGCCCCCACCCGTTTTCTGAATATTTTTCAGAACTATCCGGGGAAAAAACCATATTTTGCCCAAATGTCCGGGATTTTTGCCGTGTTTATCCGGTGTCGGCAATTTAGGTGATGGCAGCCCTAAATATACCTAACGTGGTAATTATATCACTCCGCACGTGTAGTTATTTTTTATAATGGGTATAAACAGTATGGTGGCCCTGCTTGAGCTGCACACGCTGTGTCGAGTAGACCACTGGACCCATCGAGGCGAATACGTTAAGATTAACCGCAGGGTATATTGCTAGCATAACTAACGTGTGTGGTTGTGTCCCCCAGACGCATCGTCGTCTAACGAGGCGGTGCACCTGCAGCGGCGGCTGCTGAGCCTCAGCTCGGAGCTGGTGACGCTCCGCAACCACCTGCACGTGGGCGGCGCTGCAGCGGGCGCGGCGGCGGGCGCGGGCAAGGCGCCGGCGCCGCAGCCGGCCGTGCCGCCGCGCGCGCCGCACCTGCTGCCGCCGGCGCCCGCGCACCACCCGCCCCCCTCGCACCCGCCACCGCCCGCTCAGCATCCGCTCTCGCCGCCCCCGCCGCCCCCGCCGCCCCCGGCCCCACCAGGTTACTTCCAAGCCTGATCTAAAGAGAAAGATGTCATAGTTGTTCTTTATTAAGATTATGCTAAAAACCCAACTTCAATTATGAAATGTTAGTATGGACTGAAAATGAACGTGAAACGTATTATTTATAAAAAAATATTGGAATCGGTACAAAAATGCAGTCGAATTGTCCGTTGTTTAATATTCCAATTTTAATAAAAAGCATTTAAAAAAGAATCAAACTTATAATTTTTTTTACATAACATAGAACGGCAAACAAGCTGACGGCCTGTCGGATGGAAAATAGTAACTATCGCCTATAAACATGAGTAGTACCATGCACATAACAAAGTATCTTCAAACCGAAACACAATCATGCAAACACAACTGCTTCACGGTAAAAACACTAATGAGACAGAGGTGGCCAAGTAAACGACTTTTGTACAAAGTCTCCCTATGGTAAATATATTATAAATGTTAAAAATAGGTGACTCATGGTGGACTGTTTACCACAGAAGCAAGATGGCGCAACAGCGGCACGGTGGCCGCACCGGCGGCGCCGGGCGCTGGCGCGGGCGCGGTGAGCACGGCGCCGGGCGCGGCGCAGCTCGACGTCGACGACCTGATACACCTGCGCGGGCCGCTCACCGAGGACGCGGTCGTCAGGGCGTTGCAGGCCAGGTTCTACCACAACAAGTTTTATGTGAGTATGACCTATAGAGGATAGAAGAGGTGAAATGCTGGGCCATCTGATACGATTTTTTAAAGAATATAGTAGAAGGAAAAATAGAAGGCAAAAGAGGAAGGGAAAGACTGAGGAATAACTACATAGAACAAATAAAGGAAACACTACGAGTCACGTCGTATAGGATATGGCCTGGGATAGAACTGGCTGGAAGATGCATGAATTAATTGCACCGACAAGAGGAAACTCTTAAATAAGAAATAAAATAAAAAAATGACCTACATGGAAACACAAGTTAATCAGCCCATGGTACCCGTCGTGCGTTGCCATGCCGTGCGCTGTAGTACTAAAGTGTTATGCCTCTGTACCTTATAATTTGACTGCCATATCTCACCCTTCAAACCGAAAGACAGCCATGCAAATACAACTATTACACGGTTGAAACAAATGTTCCGGGGAGTCGATCGACGTAGGCAGATTCAAGCTACTTTTTTACTGAATTCAAAAAGAAGCAGGTTCTCAATGTTTGTTACCTTATAACTCCTCAGTTGTAAACCGATTTGAAAAAACTTTTTTTACGTGAAAGTATATACTTACACTCTTTAATTATCTTAATATAATTTAAGGAAATCTTACTCGTTTTTCAATTTTTACGACTTGGAATAAAAATTAGGGCGGTTCTCTCGCTGGAAAACGCAAAGGAAAATTTAATATTTTTTTAAACTTTAAGGCTCAGTTTTGTGAAGCATCCCATTTTCGATTTTTGATACTAGTTACGGGAGGTTACGGGTGCGTAGTGTTAAATTTAAAGAAACTATAAGAAGGTTAGGAGAATTAGGGCGAGGAATGACTTTTGCTTACAGACACGAATGTCACCAAATACACTGTGAGGCCTTTTATACTCAAGTTTTTCTACTATATATATGTAAGCAGTAGGTAGTTGCCTCCGTACCCAGTAATTTAACCGACATACTTGGTTAAATTATAGGATGATAGTGTTATTGGTTACACTGGTTAATACTGCAGGTGTAGTATCTGCTAGATTTATACCGCGCGGTCGATATATTTAGGACGTCCAGGAATTTTATGCGCTCATTTAGAAGGAAAAACAAGATAGCGTGTCTCGGCATAGAAAAGTATGTCGTAAGAAGCGACTAAGGGAGCTTAGGGTGAAGACAGCGTTGTATTTCTGTAGACGCCTGATTGCGTTGCCAACCTGCTTGAAACATGGTACTACAACTGCAAAATTCCCCTTATGTGGCAGGCTTATGTCCAGTAGTGGATAGTTAAGGGCTAAAATAATAAAACATGTGTTTCATCTGTAATAGTAAAATAAAGTGTCGTCATCAAATCCAAAGACAGTAGGCGCGGCGCACACGTAGCTCGCAGACACGGCGTTATAGAGTTTTAGGGGTTTTATTATGCCCGGATTAAAATGTAGGAGGATTGTCTATCATAGAATTAAAAGCTTGAGAAGACGAGACAAATATAAAGGGAAGTTTTGTCCATGGACAAAATGTCCCCGTATCTGCAGGTCGTTTCCTTAACACTCATGGGCACTACATATCCGTTTTATAAACTTATGATATAAATTTTATAATACAAAATTTGTATCTGCGGATTAGGAATCTCGTGAGAACTCGGCAACTTTCAAAATTACAGAAACTGATGATGTTTTATATAACTATCACGAATTACTTCAACATTCCCACGGCGGACGTTACAGGTTCTATAAAGAGTACAATACGGCTTGTTGTAAATATGGTATTTTTATTTTACAACAATTTATATTTTAACATTCATCTAGGTCAGTAACAACGTCGATGTTTTTCTACAGTACTTAAATAGATAGTGTATTGAAAAAAGTGCATATGAAAATAGAATTACAATTAATTTAGACTGTGTGCAAGCTGTTTTACTTTTATTACAAATAATAAAGTAATAGTCCTTTCCCGTGGGAGTCGTAAGAGGTGACTAAGGGAGAGCGAGTGATGGGCAACAGCAACCATCTTAAAACATCTCTAAAACCCAACTGCGGTGCTAATCCATCTGCTGCGGAGGCTATGTTCAGCAATGGACAGTTAAAGGCTGATATGATGATGATGACAAATAAAGTAGTTATAAAATTACTAGCTGTATCCCGCGGTTTCTCCCGCATGAACATTATCTAAAGTATCCTTTGTGCTAGGTTTTTGCATGAAAACGTACAAAAAAATTCATCCACCGTTATAAACTATTACATTTATAATATTAGTAGGATATTAACATTATATATATTTTTTTAAATTCTGACTTGTACTGAAGATATTTGTTTATGTTATAATCAAGATCTTGTAATAGAGAACACACTGCTAAGTCGCGCTATTATAATCAAAGATTTCGAATTAAATCAAGAATTCAAATTAAGTTTTTTTCTTATATATAATATTATTTTAAAAGTAATAAAAAAATTATTAGACGATTTACTCCAAAATGATACCACTTTTATAGTTCCACTAGTGTTTTTTTATATTTATTTACATAACAAAATTATAGTTAGACATTACACAAAGAGATACAAGAGTGGTATGCAAAAATTCAAATCATTCTTATTCTTTTTTTAAATATACTATATGGCTTCTTTCCAGCCATGACCATGCTCGACTATATGACAATATTGTCCTTAATCCGCCCACCATGAATAAAAAAAATTAAGATAACTAAAGAATAAACAATGTCCTTGGTAGAAATTTAACAATATTACACTACATATAATAATGAACAAACATAACATTTTTGAACTGCTTTAGATCTAAATTATAGTTATCAATTAATGTTAGATGCTCATTTAAAATAAACAAAATAACTTTTAGAAAACAAAGTTTTGATACTTTTTATAATGCTGTTTTTCGTGTGTAACAACCGTGTCGTGCCCCTGGTGGCTATAAAGCCATCATGCTGGCGGAAGATCATTCTCCATCACCAACACTATGTCACCTATTTGTTTTCCTTATGATTACATTTGTATCTATGATGAAACCGAAGGAGAAACTTAATTAAACCTCTATATATTATTAATGAGATTATAATGTGAAAACTGGTAAAATAATGTGATGGTCTATTAATATTAGTACAGCGTGTCCATTAACTCTTAGAGTTTCATCTTCATCATTCCACGGATTCGAGGAGGTAAGTACACTTTTCTTATTACTAATCTTTCTTTTTTCTTTCAGGTTCTTTAATTCATCGGCCAGGTAAGTTTCTTGAAAATTCTCTAGATATTGTAACCATTTATTCAAAAGTTGTATTAGTAATTCTTCCTGTAAACCTATTTCAGAGAGCCATAACTTTTGAATGAATATTTTTGCTCGAATAACAACAGGTGCTAACCATCCAACTGGATCAAAAATGAGAAATTTCGGAAATAACTTTTCTTTTAGTTACAGGTGTCTTCAGTTCAGGAAGTTGTACAACATATTCAAAATGATCACAACTTCGATTCCAGGTAAGTCCTAGAATTTTCATAACACTATTTATTTTTAATTGCACGCTTTCTTGTGCTATATCTTCTTCATTAATTACTTTCAATAATTCATTACTATTGCTACTCCATTTCTGAAGCTCAAATCCTTTTTTTAATAACTCTTTTATGTCCTTATAGATTTTAATACTTTCTTCGACTGATTCACAACCTGTTAGTAAATCGTCCATATAAAAATGATTTAGAACTCTTTCAGCAGCAAGAGGATAATTTTTGCCTTCATCATAAACAATTTGATGTAAACACCGAACAGCAAGGTAAGGTGTTGATGCCGTTCCAAATGTTACTCGTAATAGTCTCATATGTTGCAGTTCACTTTATGATCACGCCATACCAGACGTTGAAAATGTAGGACCTTTATCTGTCTATACATTTTAATTATATCAGAATTAATATAGGATAACGACGCCAACGTATTAAGATATGACGCAAGTCAGCTTGAAGACATAAATATTAAAGATAGCCATTTTATCCATGGACATCGAAAACAACTCTTACTTTTGTAGTGGTTCTATCCTGCACCACTGCATGGTGTGGTAAATAGTGCTTCAGGATCATCTTGTTCAGTTATTGGTACTTTCTCCATGTGTCCTAATTCTAGATATTCTGAAATGATCGGCGTATTTAATTTTTAAATTAGGATCCATTGATAATCTTTTTTCTAGTTGCAGAAATCTTTTAGTTGCAATAATTTTAGAATTGCCATATTTACAACTGGGATCATCACTACGGAATGGAAGATTAACTATATATCTCCCTGAATTGTCCCGCTCGTAGTATTTGTAAATATTTCTTCACATTTCTTTTCTTCTTCAGATAAATGTTTTTTAAATATATTGTTTTCAGCTTCCAACTCCCAAAATTTCTTTAATAAGTCATCTTCACTTTATATATACTAATCAGTGGCCTTTGTATATTATTTTTATCTATATTAACAGGGCCAAAATTCCCAAGCGTTGGCTGAGCTATAGGTACACCTGGTGGACCTTTAATTACACCATCTAACAAGATCTGACTGTAAACACGAGAAGAATATCGATTTTGTTTGGTGTGTGAAATGATGGATTGCCAGTTTGATATTTGAAAACTCCTAGGTCACCACAGTTCTACAATAATTTGCCTCTCAGGGAGGATTGAAGTGAGTTTACTCAAGACAAAAGCTTGAACCTTAAATGTAAAATTGGGATCATGAAGTGATTGTAATGAAAAACCATAGACTTAGAGGTCAATGAATGACCCTGATCACTTTAATCCTGTAATTAACTTTTGTGTGGTATCTTTTTTGTGTGCACAGCAGATTCAGTAATAAAACTTTGAGAACCTGGATCTATTAAACAAGTGTGATAATACCTGATTTCGAGTAATAATGCTGTTGCAAGTAAGACTTGACAGTTTGAGGTCGAAACACAGGCTGTGACACTAGTGGATTGATCTACAGACGATGATGTTGTTGCATGTGCAACGACATCTTGTTCAACCGATTGATTTGCGATACCTG